TGCGCCAAATAAACCCATTTCTTATAGGATAAAAATGACGAATCCAAACAAGGACCCCTATGTTTCTAAGGCAACAAAGAAAGCACTCATGATAAAAATCTTTAGTTCAACACCAAATGCTTGGTTTATGGATATCTTGGAAAACATTCCGAGGTATAGAGAAGATGGACCTCCATACTGGCTAATATTTGTCGGTCAAAACACAAGATACTGTGAAGCCATACCATTACAGTCCAAAAATATTTTAGATATCTTAGCAGCTTTGACAATATTCGTTGACAAATACCATCCAACAAAACTGACATCTGACTGTGAAAGTTCTTTCAAATCAGACGATGTAAAAAACTATCTGCGTTCAAAAAATGTAAACCAATATTTCATTGTCGACCAAAACCATTCTGCTCTTGGTGTCATTGACAGTTGTATAAAAATCTTAAGAGACTTAAACCAACCACAAGGTGGTGAAGCAAATGAAATGTCATATGACGACAAGTATAGACACTTCTCCATGGCAAAGATGAGACAAGTTTTAAATATTTACAATAGCCGTAAACAAAAAGGTTTGGGAAACCACTCCCCCGAAGAAATGAAAAACAACCCTGACTTAGAGAAAGACTATATATTTAATAATTTAGTCAAAAGAGACAAACAAGAAAGAATGCCAGGCTTCAAACTTCAGAAAGGTGACAAAGTAAAAATAGAAATACCTAAACGCGACCCATATGAAAATACTATTGACTATGACAACAATGGGAACTCGACAGGTACTCACATTCGTGTTCGTAAAAATAGAAGAAAGTATACAAGAGAATATTATGAAGTTTTAGGCAAACATGGCAAAATGTACAGACTGCAAGCAGAAGATAAAACTACTATTGTCAGACCTCGTTTCAAACTTGTTAAGGTTCAAGGTGGTATACTTTCAAAGACAGTTCCTAACAAATATAAGACAACTCCTGACGAATATGCTAAAGAAGTTGAAAATGACGACTAAGCAATTCTATACCATGCACAAACTGTCATGTAAGGTGGCATGTATTTTTTACCTAGTCCTGTAGATGTTGTTGTAAAAGTATGTTGGTGGTTTCCTCCTGGTTCAGTTTGTCGAAAAGTCTTTTTTGCTGAATGGTTATAATCTGGAGATAAAACGTCATAGCCAGCTTCATACTCTGAGTTGTATAATGGGTGGTCTCTTAATGAGTGGCTATGGTCGCCAGAAAAGTTTGTTGTACCAGAATGACTATGTGGTGGCAAGTTGTCGACAGATATCGTTTTACTTCCACCTGTTTTCTTTGGAGTGTGTGCACAATACAAAAAACTTTCGAGTATTTGAGTCCAAGTTCCAAAACCAAGTACTACTTCTGGTCTGGTAGAGTTCATTGACGTATAAATAGAACCAACTGGGTAAATGGTTTGAAGTATTTCTGTCTTTAATGTTTGAAGCTCTGTTTTGTCTGCTTTCTTGTCATATAAATCTTGAGCAGTGAATTTAATATTATGTTCATCCTCCATGACATAAACATCTCTACATCTAATGTTTCTCATCGTTGTTATGTCGTCATCCGATGTTAAACCTTGTGGAAAGTTAGGAGGTTTACAATATATTGCATCCCCACCAGTTTCTTCAACCGTTCCTTCAATATTTTCTATACCAACAGTTGCGAAGAAGCTATGTGTATGTCCAACGTCACTTTTCCTGTTTAAGGTTTCTTGTAAGTTTGTAATATTTGCAATGGTATGTGTATGTCCAACGTCACTTTTCCTGTTTAAGGTTTCTTGTAAGTTTGTAATATTTGCAATGGTATGTGTATGGTTCTTATCCGCTTTAAGGTCTAAACATCCTGAAACCCACCCTGTATCGGCTTTACCTTTTAAAATCTTTGTTGTCCGTTCATGGTACCATTCAACCCTTTCTATAATTTTTTCATCTTTTTCATTCACATATTCCTTATCTGCCTTCTTCACTAACGCACTAGCCACACGTGCTAACTCATCGTCTACATATTCTTTGTCAGCTTTGTTGTCAACATCTGCTTTCAAAAGAAGTTCATTTATAGGTTTCTCGTTTAAAGTTCCTTTTGTTGGATTTATACAGACAGTATGGTTCTTATTGTCTTGAAACAGAAACTCATCTGTCATTGGGTTTAATGTCAGTTTTAAGTTTCCTTCTTTCAATGACTCAGATATCTTAGAATAGTTTGAAAAGTTTGTTGTGTTCTTATTTAGAGCTTGCACAATGAGTTGTCGGTTGTGTTGTATTTCTCTCATAGACGCTGTTTCATTTGACATTTTTATTCTAGATAAAATATGCTTCCAATAGAAAAAGAAAATTCAAGAGTTGCTACAACTAAACCATTAGATGAACTTTTTACTAATGTCGGTCAAAAGTTTGAGACAGAGACCGTAAAGCATGAAGGCTATCGTTTTGACTACCCATTAAGATGGCTAAGAGACCCATCTGTCACAAAAGCTATTGGCTTTCGTAGAATGAAGTTTGTGTCTGTAGAAGATAAAAGTTTTCCATTTATTGTAAGGTTTCATATAGATTATATATCTGAAGGGAAACGAAAAATGTGGGAAGAAATTGAGCTAATACAAGTTGACCTTTCATCTTCTCTACAGACTGCGTTAAAAAATATAGAAGATAAAATAAATTCATGTTATGCAAAATATGCTGATGAATATGCAAATACCGAGAGCACACTTTATGTGAGAATTGTATATGACAAACAAAATTCACAAGTGTCATTTCAAATCTACGAAGACAATCCAAAGAAAGACGAACAAATATATACAGAATTCACTGCAATGTCATGGTATTATTTGCAAAGAATGTTAAATCAGAAAGTCAAACTTCCTTTAGCAAATATTTACAGTCGATATGCAAGAGATGAACCATATTTATTTAAAGATGTTTTCGACCCAGCTGCTATTATTGTTCATGCTTCATTTTCTGGCGCTCAAAACTCTTTCTTATGCTTGGCAAATGACTTTTACGAAAAACCTACAAAGTTATATGAACCACCAAGTGGAAGTATTTCAGACTTTCAAGTATGGTTTACTACAGATGGAAGAAAAAGAATAATTCCATTATACCATGCGTTTTACTTAGAACTTAGTTTCATATACAACTACTATCGAACGGTAAAAATATAATTTTTTAATACGGTTGAGGTGTTGGATTTGGTTGCCAACTAGACTGTGGTGCAGGTTCAGGCTGTTGTATAACAGGAGCTTGTTCTTCTGGTTCAGGGTCTTTAGGTATAATACCAACAAACTGACCTACTCTTTTACCAATATTTTTGACTCCGTTCCAAATTCCTCTTCCTACGGTTTTTATTCCATTCCATATACCTCTTCCAACATTTCGAAAGAAGTTTCCTATTCTTCCAAAGAAACCCATTTTACTATATGTAAAAATCTAATGTCCGCCTAGTCTCTTACGTTTCCTGTTGAGTTCCATAGCATTCTTTAACTGGAGCTCATACATTCTGTTTCTCCTCTGGTAGAAAACATATTCTGGGTCAACTCCTGTGTTCGCGTCATCTGCATAAAGTTGTTTATATCCCACTTCAGGGTTTGTATAAAACTCTTTCCATCTCATATTTGCATACCATGGTGGCAAACCTAACGCAGCGTCATTTGACATGGCAGTTTGCATTTGTACATCTGTTGGCACTTGACCATAGTTTGCCATTGCAGTTTGTATTCTAACTTCATTTGGAATATTCTCTGGGTTTGGTTGTCCAGGTTGCTGTGCATTCGCTAAGTTCTGTGCGTCCATTTAATATTAGATAAAAATATCTCTTACGAGTACATATGCTGAACATTTGCTGGTATTGGTTCATCTTCATATTCTCTATATCTTTCTGCCACGTCAAATAAGTAAATGACACAATGGAAAAAACCTAAAACAAGTAGTCCTATTTCAAACCACATTTACTTACCAATAAAATTTCTTTGTTATGACACTTTCTCCGGTTTATAGGACCTCTCTCATATTCTATCTTATCGTATCTAAACTCATAGTCATGTATGTCCTCTAACCATCTCATGACACTTTCCAAACCACTTTTATCGGATGTAAAGTAAAAGCATGGATGGTTATGTAAAACGTCTAAAGTTTCTAAAGAGTCTCTCAAAGTCCAGTCTGCTTGGTATTGAAAATCGTATGTGTTATAGAACGGCGGGTCTACTATAAAGAAAACATTTTCCTTGTCTTTATATTTTTCATACAACTCTGTCCAATAACATCTCACAAACTCTATACCCTCAATATATTTTTCTATGTCCTCTTTGAAAACATTTATATAGTTAAGATATAAAACTTTTGACATAAGTGTTTCAATGTCATGAACTCTTATAGAACCACTATATAATAGTCTAGCAGATATACTATCCCAGTCAATATACTCTGCCTTTTTCAAAACCTCTCTCACAATATTTTTCTTATCTAATGGTATACGTTCCATCTTACCTATAGGTATCTTTTCTTTTAACTCTTTCAATATTTTGTTTGTGTCTGGAATATGTTTGAGACGGTCCATATAGTTGTCGAAGTCATTGCATATAATCTTTGAGTCTGGGAATATTATATGGCACAAATGGGATATATAGAAACTTCCACCGAACAAATCTACAAATGTTAGACCATTCGGTAGTTTCTTAAGTTCTCTCAATATAATATCTTTACATCTACTCTTATTTCCAAAGAACGGTAACGGTGGTTTTGTAAAATTCATTTATATATAATAATAAAAATGTTTTTACCTGAAAAGTGACAGAAAAGTGACAAACATGAAAACATATATAATTTGTGAAAAGCTCCTGGAAGCCCTCCGAATATAAGAACTTCATTTATGTGGGCTAGAAGGGGCGCAGCCCCTGGAAGGCCACCCCAAGAAAAAAAAAACTTCATTATATCAATCATCCTCAGGGCTAGAAGGCACGAAGTGCCTGGAAGCCCCGCTACCTTTTTTTTTTTTTTTTTTTTTTTTTTTTTAGATGTTTTCTAAGTTTGTCATATTAGGGTTCGAATAACCTTCTAACAGTTTGCATAAGATATCTGTAAAGAATGTGTTCTTACCAGTTCCTTGTTTTCCAATTATAATGAGAGCAGTTTCATTTTTAGCACTTGGATGTTGTAAGATATTTGCAAACCAACATAAGATATACTCATAAACCTTTTCGTTTCCATTGCATATAATTTCTTTGACATGGTCTAACCAAGCTTCTATAATATTTTCTTTCCATTCTACTTGTTCATATTTATATCCAGTGAAGATAGAATAGAAGTTTGGAGAAGGTGTATAAAACTTTATACCACGAACTGAAAAATCTTCTAACTTTGACAATAAGATATCCCAAGCATCTAACATCTTCATTCCAACTTGTACAACTTTTATTTTCTTAAGTTTCTGTCTACATTCTTGTTCTGAAACTATTGTTGCTCTTGGTTTGTTAAAGACAACATCCCATTCTTTCATAACATAACATTCTGGGGCAGAGTCAACATAAATGACTAAACGTTTCAAATTCTCGACTGCTTTGTTATAGTCTCGAAATGGACACATATTTCTGAATGCTTGGAAGTCATAAAAATCTGAAACATCTATTCTGTACATTTTTATAAAAATAAAAAAAATATTATTTTTTTATTCTTGACTTTGTTGTTCCATTTGTTGCATTTGTTGTTCTTGAGCTATTTGTTGTTGAAGTTGTTCTTGTAATACAATACTTTCACCAGTTGCATCTTCCAATTCGAAACTTTCTGCCGTCATTGACAAATACATAGGACATAAAAGTTTTACAGGAACAAAGTTTGCGTCAACTAATGTCAACGTTATACTTGCCAAAGTGTTTGAGTTCACTAAGGTTGAAAATTCTGCATTCGAATGAACAATAGGCAAACCAGCAGAGAAAGTATTGTTTATACGCATAAGTATCTTTTGGTCATAATAGTTTCTGTCGACATTCGAATAACACTTTGAACCTAAGTTTGAAACAATATATAAGATTGTGTGCTTAATGTCAATGGAATAGACATTCCTTGTATGACACCTTTTCCTGTTATAGGAAACTGTTGGTAGTAAAAACCAGATATAAGTTTTGTATTATAGCTCATATCGTTTATAGTAAACTCAGTCGGACATCCAAACATAATGAAACCTGCTCTAGTTGCAGCACATGTTACATCCGTCCTTAAAGTATTAAATAAGTCAACAAAACCTGTTGGTGGTATATCTGAGTAAGTATCTTCAAAGGAGTATTTTTTACCATTCACAACAACAAAGTCTTCTGGTGTCAAAAGAGCAAAACAGGCTTTAGTCGTCATTGTGTTTAAAGTTAGTTTACAATATCGTCCTTGAGGACTTTGTAAGTTTGTTGTTATAGAATTATATGACTCAGGGTTTTTAGTCGTAATAGTATAAACCATTATATCTTCTGCCATTTACTTAGCAAATAAATTTTAATGAAATGTTGTGGTCGTCAAATATTTTTATGACGTCTGGGAAACTATACTTTAAGTTCAACGTTTCACCTCCTTTCATAACGTATATCTTGTCAATGACATTATATGAAACACCACAGCAACTAATGTCGGGTTCTATTTCTTTGATGTTTATATCGTCTGCCTCTGTCAAAAGTTTCAATAGTTCTTTCAAAACTTCACGAGGTGCGATGACATATGAGTTCACTTTTACAGGGTTGTGCTCAACCAAGTTTAACATTATACCCAAAGCCTGACAAATCTTCTCCTGAGTTTTAAGTTTGTCTTTAAGTTGTTGGTAGTCGTTTCGAATATCTGCAACAGAACTTAAGTCTCTGCTAACTTCAGGATATGTTGGTTGTTCTTTTACAGGAACAATTGTTATACCATCTTGGTCTTCGTATGGTTTCCCCATTTCAACATCTCTTTCTTTGACATTGACAACAACACTTTGAGTGTTTGTTTGAGTTGGTGAATTTAACTTCACATCTGCCACCGCCATTAAACCTTTTGAAACACTTACGCTTCTATTTTTCGGAAATGACATTTTACTTAGAATAAAAAGATGGACGTATTCGAGTATCTCTTCGAATTGAAGCAAAACAAAGTTTACACACACAAACAATACAAGTTCATTGACAGAATAGTTCTTTATACAAACAATGGTAAATGTTATAGAATAGCAGTCTTTGCTGAACCAAAATATTTTCATAAAGCAAAGAAAGTTGGTATAACTGAAATGGTGAAAGTTCTTGACGTTGACAAAAATATAACAACAAAACTTACAGATATTTCTAAAGGAAAGTTTATCTTACAATTTTATGTCAAAACTGGCGTACTGTCAATATTTGACGGAGAGAAGTCAGTTCAAGAACAACTTACTGACCTGCTGCCAAAATCTGCTCGATGGAAGCTGTCGTTATGCCAATCTGAGGAGCCCCAGCAGGTTTCATCGAACGAATCTTCAAAAGAGCATCTTCCGTGAAAAGTGCTATTGGTTTTGTAAACTTCTTTGCTTTCAGTTCATCTGGACCGTCTCTGTCACCAGTATATTGTATTTGTACAGTACCAACAGTTGAAATACCACCCATAAAGTCTTCTGAGTCAGCAAATGGAATGCCAAGCCAAAAGTTTGAACGGTCTCCATTTGTATATTGAGTTTTTTGACCTCCTGTATGGGTCCATACTTTCACATATGGCATAATAGAACTTTGCATTTCAGGGTTAATGGTTGTTGTGAAGTTGTTGTTAAAGTTCATAGCATCTAATGTCAAGTTGTATGACCTCATATCCTCAACTGTAGAATATTCTTCTCTTGGATAATATTTGCCATCTATGTATATGATATATTAATACCGGGGTTGTAGAAACAAGAATAGTCATTTATAGTTCGTCTGAACAGTACAAACATAGTATCTGCATGTTTCATTGCAGTTGTTAAGGCAATATCTGTTCTTGCACCTGGGTCAGCACTTTGGTTTCTTCACCTGCAAAGTCTTTGACAGATATTTGGTGTATAGGGAACATAAGTGGAACTGCAATATATTTGGCAGCTAAAGCATTTGAAATATCTGGGTCCAACATATAGACTGCAAGTCTGCTTTCTATTCTCTTGCATTCAAACTTTTCGCATGTGAACTTAACTGGGTCCCAAGCAGTTCAGCAGCATTGAAATAATAGTTTACTTCAGTGTTGAGGTTTGAGAAACCAAAGTCTAAGTCAACTTTGTCTTTGCAAAAGTCGGCGAATGACGTTTTATTTGTTCCCACTACTTCTGTAAGAGTGAATGGGTCTTGTGTTGGTGCAATGACTAAGTTATTTTTGCTTGGAGTAGTTCGATAGAAATTTTTCCTGCCCAGTTTGGCAAGTATCTTAAAAACCTGAAGATGAGGAAAGATGACAAAGGAACTCTAAGTTTCAGTTTTTACTTTAGTGGCAGCATTTCCATCTGAACCAGAAAGGTTAACATAAACTCCTGGAACGTTAGGGTCAAGTCTTCTTATTTTCTCAATGGTGGCATACTGGTCTGTTTGTTCTTAGCTTGTGGTTGTACTGAGTTTCTCAAAGCGAACCATTCATAGTTTGCCCATGTTACTGTTTGAACTAAGTCAGAGTTAGAATATATCTTATATCCCATGAAAACTTCTGGAGCATATTGGTATCCGACATAGAAAATTCCATTGCAACCTTTCTTGTCAGACAACTTGGCAGAAGGTTTTATTTCAATGTCTTGTTCCACGTATAAGAAAGAGTTGTCAATAGAAAATTATATGAAACCTGTCGCAAGCAATATCTACTGTTGTTGAAGAACCTTCTCCAAACTCACCTACGTTTCCATAAGAAACAGCAGTTGTATATTCGTAAGTTCCAGGAACTATTTCTGACCTTCTAATGGCATTGTCGCATTCGTTATACCATTCGGAAACATTTCCGTTCATGGCATCCAAAACTGTTGGCGTTATATTCTGAGCGGCGTACATTTCATATGAGTAAAAATATAGAATAGTTGGATTTATATGTCATAATAGAACCCACGTGGACCAAGCTTTACTTTCTTCCTGACTGAGTTTTTAACTCTTCTTTTTCCTTCATTGCCCTCTGCTTGAAGTTGTTGCATCTTTGCATTATGTTCATCTAGTATGTTGCAAATTTCCCATGTCCTTTTGCCTTTTGGCTCTGTCGCCCATCTCAGGTAACCTATATCCTAGAAAGAGTTTGTCATAGTCTGTATTTGAGTCTTCGCGTATTGTTTGCATGACTCTTTCCTGAGTTTCCGGTTCAAGCTCTTCAAACAGTGCCTGTCCATATGGAATATGCTCGTTTCCAAATATATGTTTTGTAGCCATTCTGGTTTTCTTTCCATGTTACCAACTATATCTTTTGTGAATGGGAAAGCTTCTACCCAATCTTTCAGTCTTGCGTCGTTTATTTCTGTAGTTGGTTTTATTTTGTCAAGGAACATGTTTTTCAATACTAACATTTCATTTGGTACTGTCCATTTGAGTTTTCTTAAATATTCATCCCTTCTCGGTTCATTGTCTGCAAAGTAAGTTTTTTATGACATTTTGTAAACTTTCGTTTGCAAGGTCATGTACAATAGGTTCTCTTCCTTCTCTGTCCATAACTTTCTTTCTAAACTCTTCACCAAATATACCATCTCTATGGTTCTGTGTAGTTCTTTGAGATAAATGTTCTAGAACGTCAGGTGTTATATTTCCATAGCCATGTTCATTTCATACTGGTTCAAAATATCTGCATCTTTCATATCTTTCAATGGCATTAAAGCCGCGCTGAAAATACCAGCTATATCTGGTTCACCATTGACTTCCATTGCGTCTACAACTTCTTGGAATTGAGGTTGTAAGTTTATGAACCACCTATCCGGGTTAGCTTTATGACCCCATCTCATTGTAGTTCCATCGTCTGCAGAAACAAAAGTAGGTTTGTTTCCATCTTGGTTAGGTTCTGAATGAAACTTTAAACAATGTTTCATTTCTATATGTTTTCTTGAAATTTAACCTTTTATCTTCACCGAGTTCATCCGAAGATTGAACGTTAAATGCTCGTAAGTAAAAAAGGGTTGTTGTATTTGTGTACATTTTTTTTTTCAGTTCTTCCATTCTATGCTGAATATTTTCATCTGGTGCTGGAGTCTTTTGTATGTCGGCAAACATTTTTCGATATTTCTTTCTACTATGTCAGCCGAATTTTTTTTAGACTCTTTGGAAATATTCCATATTCTCCGCATACTCTTGTTGAGGGTCAAGATTTTTCGGCTGTTCCAAATCTTCATCTAGTTCTGTGAAGTTAGTTTCCAAAGGAGTGACTTGTTCGTTTCCTTCAGGCTCTTCTAGCTGTTGTTGCTGAACTATTTCTTCCATGTCTGGTTGTATCTGAAACTATTTCTTCCTGTGGAGTTTCTGTACCTCATCTCTGGCATTTCATATATTCCGAGACCGTTTTTAACAATTTCCCTATCTACGTCATCCGCATTCATTAAGCTTTTGTTCTTTCGTTCGCGTCTTCATTTTTTACGCGTTTCATGACAAAGTTGAATGTCATTTAGCTCTGACATCAATATCTCGCGAGTAAATTCATCCATGTCATTTGGATGATATGCTATTAAATCATATCCCTTAGCGAGCTTGTATTTTCCAGGTTTGAGATTATATCCGTTTTGGTGCTGAGCCATAAAGCTAAAATAGGTTCGGGTCAGTATTTCCATCCTTGAACTTTCCAATAGCTTCTTTATATCTGTCACTAAAGTCAACAGTATCTGGGAAACCACACTCTTCTTTAAGCATTTTTAAGAATTCTTGGTTTCCTTGTTCTCTACTTCTTTTATGTCCTTGCTCTGGTTGTGGAGGTGGTTGTTGTGCAGGGTTTTGAACTGTTGGTTGTTGTTGTTGTTTTGGTGCATGCCTGTGTCTGTGTCCATGTGACGATGTAAATGTGTTAGGTAGTCCTGGTGCAGGTGCTTCTCTTGGAGGGTTTGGTGGTATATAAGTTCCACTAGCTAGTATATAAGTTCCACCAGCTGGCACATATGTTCCATCTGCAGCATAGTGTCCTACCTGACTTTTCGTTTTTAAGAAAGCATTTACTAGGTCTGTTTTGGTCTGTTGTAACTCTTTTTCTTGACTTTCCACAACAGTTGCTCTAACGGCGTCATAGGCACTTTGAACTGCCTGTCTCGTTGCTGCATCTGTTATTTTCGTCATATTTTGTGCTACTTCTTTTAACTCTTTGTCGAAACCTTCAGACTTCAGTTTCTTTCCAGATGAGAAGTCGTTCACTTGTTTCACCTTACTATGAAGAGCTTCGAAGGCGTTCTTAAAGTCAGCATTCGTTAAAGCTTCATTTGAACTGTCTTCATCCGCTTGTATTTTTGTCCTTATTGACCCTATGAGTTGGGCTGCTTTAGCGTTGGCTTGGGCATCTAACCAGTCATTGTTAGCTTTTATATATTCTGCGCTTTTCATTGCCTTTTGCATAGCCGCGTCGTTATTTTTACTTTCTTGTGCTAAGTTTTCATACTGTACGGTTTGGTTTTGCAACTGTAAAAGTTTTTCTGCCTTTACATTTGCTTCAACTTCTTTTTTATACTCATCGCTATCCATATATGTCTTCAGGGCTTTTTGTTTTATTTCTTCATCTTCCAGTACTTTATATTGAGTAGTATGGTTTTTCAAATTTATAACATCTTGTTCCATTTTTGCTACTTCTGCTGCTTTTTCTGACACTTTTTTCGCATATTCCTCTGTACTTAGTTCTTTCAGTTGTTCTTCTTTCTTCTTTTTCTCTACGTTTAACTCATTGAGTTTCTTTGTGTGTCTGTCATATTCTAGTTTCTTTTCGTTTTCACTTATTTGCTTCTGTATGTCTATGTTTGACTTTTTGACATCTGTTATTTGATTTTTGAGTGAACTCAAATTCATTTGACTTTGAGGGTTATAGGCTGTTCCGTCTGCAGCTCCACCATAGCCTGCCATTTTCGCTAAAAGTGCCGCTCTTAAACCTCCACTCTGTGCACCAGTAACTCGGTTTAAAAGCATAGGATTGCTTGACATTTGTTGCAACATAGTGGGGTCATTCAGCATTTGTTGTTGCAACTGTTGTTGTGGTGTCAGTTTTACTTTTGGATGTTTCAATGCTCCCTTCCTCTTACGTATATTCTTACGTAGCTTACGTGGCATTTTAAGTGAAGTTAAAAAGCGGTTTTTGACAGATGTTTTATTGTGACTTCTTCGTAAAGACTTTGTTGAGATTTCTTCGTAAATGAGTGTAAATGACCCAAAAATATATTTTAGGGTAGAAGGGTATATCTAACCTCTTTTCTAACCTCTTTTCTACCCTCTTGAATTTTCATGAATTTCTTCGTAAAGACTTTGTTAAGACTTCTTCGTAAAGACTTTGTTGAGACTTCTTCGTAAAGACTTTGTTGAGACTTCTTCGTAAAGACTTTGTCAAGACTTCATCGTAAAGACTTTGTTGAGATTTCTTCGTAAATGACCCTAGTAGTATATTTTTGGTGTAAATTTCATGAAAATTCAAGAGGGTAGAAAAGAGGTTAGAAAAGAGGTTAGATATACCCTTCTACCCTAAAATATATTTTTGGTGTAAATTTCATGAAAATTCAAGAGGGTAGAAAAGAGGTTAGAAAAGAGGTTAGATATACCCTTCTACCCTAAAATATATTTTTGGTGTAAATTTCATGAAAATTCAAGAGGGTAGAAAAGAGGTTAGAAAAGAGGTTAGATATACCCTTCTACCCTAAAATATATTTTTGGTGTAAATTTCATGAAAATTCTGAGTAAAATGACAGATGTTTATATGACACTTTCTCCGGTTTATAGGACCTCTCTCATATTCTAAACATCTTCGGGGCTAGAGGGCACGAAGTGCCTGGAAGCCCCACTACCTTTTTTTTTTTTTTTTTTTTTTTTTTTTTTTTTTTTTTTTTTTTTTTTTTTTTTTTTTTTTTTTCATTTGATAATATATTTAAGTTGGCGTATCTTACGCCCTTCCAAATATTTCTTAAAAATTTAAATTTGTCTCATCTCCTACTCTTAATTTAAAAAAATTTCAAAATCCATAATAGTAAAAATTTCTTATTTTTATTTAAATCTGAAAAAAATAAATTTAAACAATTTCTCTACACATGACGGTTTCGGCGGTTTTCAGAATGGTTGACAACTGAATTCATCAGGATAATGTCGGTTGGGGTGCCCTTCTTGGCCTCCTGAGTACTCACCAAGATACCCCCAGCTCCCGCAAAACACCTCCCATAGGTGAGCATTAACTGATGAAGTTATTGACAACTTTATCTGATTTTTTTCTTTGTTTTTTTGTTAAGATTTCTTAACCAAAGACTCGAAAACAAAACTTCGCTTCAAGTTGCTGTCTTCCCAGTTACTCTGTCGCAATCTTTTGTCTGATTGCGTGCAAAGTTCTGCTCCTTTGAGACTTTGCCCGACAGATGCATCTGGGAGACAGCACCCAAGCAGCTTATCGCTTCAAGTTGCTGTCTTCCCAGTTACTCTGTCGCAATCTTTTGTCTGATTGCGTGCAAAGTTCTGCTCCATGAATTATCAAATATGTGCCATTTCAGGAGAGATAATAAGTTCATACCTCCTGGAATGGCGGATTGTTCAACAATCTTCTTCTGATTGCAGAACTTTCAACCGACAAGAAGTGCATATGCACATCTTTTAGGTTGCAATCTGTGATCCCAGGAGACATAACAAGCTCATGCCTCCTGGAATGGCGGATTGTTCAACAATCTTCTTCTGATTGCAGAACTTTCAACCGACAAGAGTGCACAATACACTCTTATCGGTCAAAGTTCCGCATTCAAGTTATGAATGGGGAACTTGATATCATTCTGGGAGACATGCAGTGACAATGTCTCCCGGAATGAGATACTGTGACCGACAAGAGTGCACAATACACTCCTGTCGGTCAAAGTTTCGCATTCAAGTTATGAATGGGGAACTTGATATCATTCTGGGAGACATGCAGTGACAATGTCTCCCGGAATGAGACACTGTGACCGACAAGAGTGCACAATACACTCTTGTCGGTCAAGTTCCGCATTCAAGTTATGAATGGGGAACTTGATATCATTCCGGGAGACATGCAGTGACAATGTCTCCCGGAATGAGACACTGTGACCGACAAGAGTGCACAATACACTCTTGTCGGTCACAGTTCCGCATTCAAGTTATGAATGGGGAACTTGATATCATTCCGGGAGACATGCAGTGACAATGTCTCCCGGAATGAGACACTGTGACCGACAAGAGTGCACAATACACTTAATGTTTTCAAATTTTCAGATTTAAATTTAATCTTTATTTTCATCATCATTTATAGTCTTGTTCCTTTATACAGTTATAATAAATTATCGTCAGATTCTAATATTTAAGATTCTTACTACTCAATTCAATATAATTATGTTAGTCACTCATATTCAGGAGAATAATTTAAAAATCTATAGCTCATATTTTGATAGTTATATATTTAGATGATATATATTGCAATTCCGGTTTCAACACGATCAAATGCCAAACCAACAAAATATATATGAATTTTCAAAATATCGATTTACATTAGAATCTATATCTAATTTTATCAATACACAAGTAGTGAATGTTCAATACATCTTTGAGCAACGTGAATAGCACAATTTTATAGGATTATTAGTTGATTATATAAAATATAAGCCAAATCGAATCTGCTGTATAGTACTTTAGTTTATCATTGAATGTTAAATGTGTTCATATAAATATTTGAGTCAGATATCGCATTTTCTAATTTCAAAATTTATCTCATGAAGTTAGAATTTATTTGATCATACAACATCATGTTAGTCAAACTAGAGTTCAATGGCGATTCTAAAATGGAACAAATGCTTGTTTTATCAAAATGTTAAAATATTAATCTAAAAAACTTAATATCTAACCAAACCATTCTAGAATTATTATATACAGGTATAGGCAATCTAAATGCACATGGAATTCGGAAAATTAAAAAGAATATTTATGAGATTATTAAATCTTATGTAATTCAATGAAAAGTAGATAATATGAATATCTATAGGCTATATATCAACATATGAGTTTTTGGTTTGACCAATACTATACTAATGTGATCAAATTAATCTGATTTCTTAGATTTTCATTTGAAGCATTTGCAGTAGTAGGGGTACCTTTATATATTAACATATTAAAAATTGCGCTCCGATTCGCAGTTTCTTCATGATTTTGAGATTGCATTAGATTTCGCGATGCAGAAAAAAATCACTTTAGATTCCCGTCAAACTCTAAGTATAAGCATGTCTCTATATGTAGAAACTGTCTGCGCTATTTATTTCCCGGCTCAAAAAACCACGGTGTCTGTGTGAGGAAAATACCCATTTTAGGACCCTGGGTAGGGGTCATGAAAATTTTCCAAGAGTTGGAAATATAGGGTATTTTGTAACTCACGTATTTTCAAGCTCGCATTTGAAGGATAGCATACTTGCTGGTATTTATTTGATATAAAATTCATTGCATCTCGGAAAATCAAAGTTCGCCGTAGCGAATTGTTAAAATAAATTTATTGTGAACCAAAAAATTTAATTAATGGTTTGGTTTGCAATCGTATCATGATGCATTATTTCTCGCCTGATCCTTCGGTGTATATCAAAAGAAAAATTTTTATTTGAATAGAATAAGGATAAAATCATCGATAAATAGTCATTAAACTCTTGTGTTTTTGCTTACATCAATAATGAATTCAATTTGTTATATACTGCTGAATCAAAATTGTATTTTTGAAATTATGCCGTATTCGAAATAGTTGAAAAATCTACTCTATTTTATGATAATATTTAAAGCATAGACCAGACATTTCGGTTTTTAAAGTTTGATGCTCTCTAATTTGGTTTGGCATGAAAAATTATCAAAGATAATGAGACGGAAGTTAATTTTTTTTTCTTTTTTAATTTCATTACTAGTCAAATGTGTCAGTACTTCTTTTTTGAAGAGTATTTCTTGTCTTATTAGTTTGCAAATAGTTGTGATACTTTTTACGGGCTTATAAATAAGCCCGAAAAAGTATCAAGCAACTATTAAAATATATATACTCACTTTTTAATCATCGTCCCTCCTCTCAAAAAGTGACTAATATATTTTGAATATATTTGATGAAATTTCAATTAAAAAATGCATTTTATCTGAAATTTGTAAATAAACCAATGTCTTATAAGATAGTTTTGCAATGGTGCATATGCCTATAGATTTATATGCTTACCATATAAGGGAAAAAGTGCTCACTCGCGCTCGCTATCGTAAAGTGTTCGCGTTCGCTCGCGCTCGCATTGAGGGAAACACCAGTATTCCCCATTATTCGAGAAAAAATTTAAAGATGCCATTTTATCTATAAAAGAATATTACACAAAAAAAGGAGGTGATGTCATTACAGATACTGAGTTTCCTTTCAGCGAAGTTCCCCGATAAAAGCCATTTCCTTATTGAAGAAGATAAAATTCAATTGTATTTAGAGATTTTGAACACAACAAACTACTACGCCATCAAATCCTACAAGGACCTGGTCGCAACACTCTCTGAATTACATCCAAAACTTTTTTTACAATTTTTTGAATTTTTTATTCCGAAAGATACAGAAGAAGTTATACCATCAGACATCAAATACATCAACAGTATACTCGAGTTACTGCCGCAAGACGACGAAAACGTCATGGAAGACCTTTGGACATTTTTCAAGTCAAAAACAGGAACTGACATCGATTTAAGCATCAACGATGGAGTTATTTATATACTTTCCCGTGCAATACAGCTCAATATGCAGCCAATTATCCAAAGATACTTGAATGACCCTGAATATCACCAAAAAAACGTTTTAGCGTCACTTTTTTCCACATTAGCCATGCATATATCTGTTGCATATTCTGTTCTTAACTCTCTTTTGTTTGTTTTACCCGATGACTTTGATTTTGAAAATTTTATTCCTTTTCCACGCGTGCAAGTCAACATTTCGACTGCTAAAAGCGATTTATGTCGGGATATATTGATTTTCTTGAGTCATCTCCTTGAAAGAGCTCCTTTTCTCGCTCATACTTTTTTTATCAAAGACGGATTAGTCTTTAATGTCATTGATTTCATGTCGTATGCACAGTTCAGCATACAAGAAG